ATATTCCTGCGCCTGGTCATAATTACCAAGCGATTGAAACACTGTTCCTAAGTTACCGTACTCCTCTGCTTCTCCCTTTCTGTCAAAAGTTTCCACTCTGATAGCAAGTGCTTTCTCGTGATATTTTTGCGCCTGGTTAAGATCACCGAGCATTTGGAGCATTCCTTGATCCGTTGCTTCTCCTTCTCTGTCACCAATTTCTATTCTGATGGCTAGTGCTTTCTCGTAATATTCTCGTGCCTTGTTAAAATTACCAAGCGATTGGAATACGGTTCCTAGGTTTCTGTAGATTACTGCTTCTCCCTCTCTGTCACCAGTTCGCGTTCTGATGGTAAGTGCTTTCATGTAATATTCTTGTGCCTTATCATAGTTACCAAGCAATTGGGACACTTTTCCTAGTTCTCTGTAATACACTGCTTCTCCGACTCTGTCACCAATTTGGGTTGTGATCGCAAGGGCCTTCTCCAGATATTTTTTACATTTGTCATATTCTCTAAAGGAATAGAGTAATGTGGCTAAGTTGCCGTAACAAATTGCTTTTCCTATTTTGTCGTCATTCGTTTTCATAATTTTTATTGCTCTCTCATAAATTTCTCTGGCCTCCACAAACTTCGATTGATCTTGAAGTGTAGTTGCCAGTAACATATTCAACCTTCCCTGTAGGAAGGTGTCATCAGAGTCCTGGTGCAGGAGAAGGAGTTCCCTGACGCATTTTTCTTTTGCTTTGGCCATTATGGTGTAGATACTCTTAACGAGAATTAAGTCGGTAATTGGACCATCCTTATCGAGCGCCTGACTGTTTAGTAAAATCAAACATTCCTTACACAACTTTATGGCTGGTGAAAGACGACCAGTGTTTTGAAGGAAATTGGCGATCTTCATACCTATCAAGACCACTTGTACTATGTTTAAAACTCCTTCTATGTTATCCATTGTGGTCTTCTTTGCTGTAAGTTTAAAAGAAGTGAAGGAAACATTATACATAAGAAGCGAATAATTCAAAAAAATTTTCAGCGTGCAAAACGCTGCTGACGGCTTAGCTCGTCAGTAGTTCTTCCTTACACGTAAATGATGAGCTTATCTCGTGTTCTCGCAACCTAGCGCGTGTTTACATCAGGCTATGTAAACACGGAAACCATTTTACATTTCTTTTATAAAATAACTAATGAAAGAGGAACGAAAACCGTGTTTACATACGCTCATGTAAAATGGTTTTATGGCCAATCAGAGTGCGCGTACTATTTGAATTATTTTATAAAACCGTGTCATAAACAATCCTCGATTTAGCTGGACCTTTTATCCAAACATTTATTTTTGTGAAAAGTGTCAAGAGGTCTGAAGTCTAACAGACTAAAGCTGGAGACCTACTGATTATATAAAACCGTGGTTTGGGTTAGACCTAGTGTAAATAACCGGCCCGTGGGGTTTAATTTGGCGATCGTTTGTGGTCCAAGAAATTTCCAAAGCTTTAATAGTTGACCTGGGCAAAGCACTCTACCTGTAGTGCTCTCTTTTCCTGAAGCCTGGATCAGAATGGAAGACAGCTGGTAAACGAAAGAGACTTTTTTTTAGCTTTTGTTTCTTGTTTTTTGTTTTGTTATTTTTTTTTAACGAGCAATCCTCACCATCGTTGATTAGAAACCCGACTATTTAAACAGAGTTTAGAGAGTTTAGAGTTTAGCCTTTGTTTAACAAAACTGTGTCATAAACAATCTTCGATTTAGCTGGACCTTTTATCCAAGCATTTATTTTTGTGAAAAGTGTCAAGAGATTTGAAACAAAACAGATTAAAGCTGGAGACCTACTGATTACATAAAACTGTGGTTTGGGTTTGACCTCGTGTAAATAACCGGTCAGTGGGGTTTAATTTGGCGATCCTTTGTGGTCCAAGACAGCTGATAAACGAAAGAGACACTTTTTTGGCTTTTGTTTCTTGTTTTTCATTTTGTTTTGTTATTTTTTTTCAACGAGCAATCCTCACCATCGTTGATTAGAAACCCAAACTTGGAACCAGTCTCATCCAAGAGAAAGACCTCGGCTGTTCGTTCCACTAAGTAGGGTGTTCATTACATTGTCACATGAGTCATGCGAGTTACGGACCTTTTGGAAAATGAAAATTCATTGAATGGACTTAAACTCGCCATTTAAAGCAAGAAACTTTTCATATTTAATTTTTGTAAAAGCAAAGATATTGGAATGAAATCTTCCAATAGAGGCTAATTTAACGATTAAGAAAAAAAATCGGGAATTCGTCAACATAAATAGTGGCTCTGTTTGTCACGCCATCTACAAAACTGAAAGTAAATCCATTGATTGCATGAAGCCAAGAACTTAATTAAGCATCGGAGCGCGGGTCTGAGGTTCGATTCCTCATGAGAACTCAGAATTTTTTTCTTTGTCTCACGCCCGTGACAATACGAAAAACACATTTTGTGGAACACTGATAAATAAACAATGCGCTCTTTCAACACAGTCAGTGGCTCAGCGCTAAAGAGTTATTCACCATAATGTCGAATTAAAATTGCTAGATGTCGACTTTATTTCCCATAAATTGCAACAAATATATTTTTTCCTTTTTTGCCTCGAAAAAGAAAAGTTACTGCCTGCTCACTTGTAATGAATTATTCAAAGTTAGGGGACAAAATATCACACAGTAGCATCATCTTCATCTCAATATAATTTTTGTTTTACATTCATGGCGGCTTCCTCGGCCGCCATATGATAATCAAGAATTGCCGCATTTTTTCCACTAGAAAGCAAAGCATTTTTCCATTAAAAACCTCGTTATGCTCTTTAAAATTGTTCAAAACTTGAGGAGCATGTTAAAGTCAAGTATCTTCACGCAACAAAGTAATTATAAAATTTCGCCAAAATGTTCCCAATAATTTACCAAGAATAAAATTAGAAATACATACGTTAGGACAAAACACGAGTTGAAATATAAGTGACAATTGCCATACAACTGAAAAATACAGTACACTGAGCGTAAGTACAGCTAAACTCCTTGCGATTTCTGGATTTCATGACGCTGTGAGATTTGAAACCGAGTATGATCCATCGCCGTCTTCTTCTAGGTGATAGAGAGACGCTTTTCAACTTGTTTCAAAATTAGTGAAACCATTAGTGAAACGGTCCATGTATCAAACATCAGTTCTGGATGTTGTTTTTCTAAAATTTGATACATTTAAATATCATCATTTGCTATTTCCATTGTCTTCGTCAGATATCTTCCACGGGGCTTTTCATTTTCCTTCGTGTCGTCACAAATTGGCGATAACAGTTTGGGATATCCAAGGGGGCCTAAAGTACCTTTACTCCTTCCCCCCCTCTAGCACCACCCCCTACCTCAACAATTTACGATGATAAAAATTTCCCGGCTTACTCCAATAAAACACAGGTACAACCCCTCCCCTCCCCTCCCCTCCCATCTGTTAAAAAATCAGTCGTAAGACTTGTTTAAATGTACATCCATAACAGACCACAAGAGTGAGAATAGTAAACATTCATTAGCTTCGGTCAGGAGAGGTTATATTCCCTCCGTTACTATTAATTCGTCGCTTTAAACCCACAACTTGGATTGTTTTTATGGATTAGCTTTGGAAATTGAAATTTCTTCAGTTTCTGAAAAGTAAGATATTTCTAACGTCAAAAAAAATTAAGCATCAGACTTTCTTTAAAGGAATTTGAGAATTTTAAGACTTTGGGTCCTCCCAAGGCGTTTACAAGCGTTTGGCGTCAAATTTGTTTGCTAGATTTTCGAACATGAAAATTAGCTTTAGTCGTTACGATTTTCTGAAATTATTTGAATGATGACTCAATGCAGTAATTTCAAATTGCAAATCCACCAAAGATATATCAATTTTTGGTTGTTACTTAACCAATGTCAAACTGAATCATTCATGATTTTACCTGATAGTTACAATGTTTCGTTCTCATCAGGATGAATACCCTAATAAGGGAACACGTAGGCAGAGATGTGGTCGGTTTAAACAACAACGCCCATAAAACCCGGCCGTGTTCCTTATTAAGTATTTGTCTTCGTCATGCAGGTCGTGCCCACTAAAAAATGAAAAGAGTGACTCATCACACACAGATAGCTTACCTTTTACAGGAAGAAGCTCCAATTGTGCTGTGATTGATCTTTGGATGAAAATCTAACCGCTCAAAAATGATGAACACTTTGGCCTGTCGTTTTCAGTAAAACAAAGAGAATTTCTTTTTATTTGCATGTTGAAATCCACCATAAGCAGTGAAAGTTAGAAACTGAAATACGTGACTTGAAGATGGAACACTAAAAAGCTGGGTAAATTGCTAT